AAATTTTATAGCTCAATTTAAGATTATATGAACAGCACCGGAAATGAAGTAATTCGAATGTGTCTAAAGTTCCAATAGTAAAATTTTATTTTCTTCTCAACTTCGAAACATTTTTATTTAATACTTTGTGCAAGTTTAAGCATGAAGGATCTCATCTATGTATGGTTAATTTTGCGACAATCGAATTTAGCCTGAGTCAAGTATATAAGTTTGCGAAGGGAAAGGGTATTGATATTTCAAAGTATCTGTCCTACCAGCGTTGTTGAGGATGAAAGTTTTTAAAAAAATATCCAACAGCCTCTTAGCTAGAATGGTGATGAGATATCTGTTTATAAAAGGAATGTATGATTAAAAAGTATTTAGTAAATAAAAAATTTCTTCGGGTTACACGGGGGTGGGGCGGGGCCCGTCGCAAAAATGACGAGTCGGGCGGGCCGGTCCAAGAAGCTGCCTGTGCGGGGTACGGGCGGAGCGGGTATGGATTTTTCGGGGCACAGGCGGGGCGGGGATTTTCATAAAACTTATACACGGGGTTCGGGCGGGACGGGTTTGTGAATTTCACGGGGCGGGCCCCGCGGGGCTTGAAAAATCGATGCCCCGTGCATCTCTGTTCTAAAGTCCTTTAATTTATTATTGTTTTTACAGGTTTTAATAGATCTTAAACAAATGGTTTTAAACAAACAATAGTTTAACTTCTGCATGGGTTCGAAACTCTTATTAATAATAGAAGTTCGAGTCGATATCGAAAAAAAACATAATTGATAAATTATAATAGAAAATATGATTCTTTCTTTATTAACGTTCGTTGTATTTATTCAGTTAACATGACTTTTGACATACACTATGCAGGAAGAATAGGTTCAGCTTTCAAAACAAATAGTTTTGATTGCTAATTGATTTTCAAGGTATAGCCTCAGAATAGTCTACTCAAAAAAATAAAATAAAGCAGACTAAAGAAAGAAAAAAAAAGAAAAAATAAATGACATTCATTTACATCTTCATTTTCTTTCTATAAACGAAGGATTAACAACTTATTCAGTTTGGTAGTCATTTTACTACCTTTGACTCGATACTAGTAGCATTAAACATACTTTCAATTGAAAAGCAATGAGACATGTCATTAAAACATCTTTTCTCTATACAATTCATTTTTATATTGATCCTTGACGGAATATCAGATAAGTGTTGAAAATGTTTCCTATTTTTTTTCTGTTAAAATTTGATCTTATCAGTAAGAAGTTTATCATAGTCAGACTTTTTTAAAAATTAACAACATTTTAACACTAATCCATTTCTATTTCATAGTGAGATCTTAATATCATAGTCAATGAATCCAATCTCTATAATTTGATTCAGTCATCATTAAACAAAGCAGATAAAACACGATTTAAGTGAATTGTCAAAGTCTAATTCATAGTTTCAAGTTGATGTTAATACAGAAATTCAAAATATTCATCAACATTGGACATTAATCTAATAAAAAAAACAAGATGAATTTGATACTAATGCATCCTTTGTCTATCGATAGTTCTCTAGAGAAAAATTAGCTTATCAGATCTGTTTTCATCTTCAATATCTTGAATTGGTAGTTCAATTCTGAGTCATCATAAATTTGTCTTTTTTTTTCATCAGGCCGCCATGGTTGAATAGTTATGTTGTTCGGCAGGTATTCACAAGACACGGTGTTCAAACCTCAATAGTACCATCCATGAAATGACCGTGAACAAGGCACTAACGGCTAGTTGTTCTGGATAACTCATTCGATGGTGTGTTGATTACGTCACTGGTCAATATGTAGAGTAGACCGTAACCTCAACATAGATATCACAATATCGTGATTCATATGTTGACCGCCAACCCGAAATTCATAACACGGGGAAGCGTTGGACGGAAAGGGGTGCAGATACCGTCATTCATAAAAAGAAAAAGACGAAACAACCTGACTGCTTGTAGACCCTTTAGCACCGACCCCAACGGGCGATAAGCCTATGGGAGATATTATTATTATAGTATTTTGTATCATAAGAAAGAAATCTAGTCTATGAGGTCAAATTGTTAAACGTCGCCATCTCCAGAAAAAGCAACTGGCGCCAGTTAGTGCTCATAAGTTAGATTACGATTGAACTACGACGCATTTACTTTAAGATGACCAATAAGATGAATTTTCATTTCATTAACGGGTGGTCGGAAATTTTTCTGACAAAATATTTGTCCACTTTTGACCAGCTAGAAAGTATTACGGACGAGTCAAAAGCTATGAGTTAGAACCAGAATTTTGTGCTCTTTTCGAATATGGACTCAGAAATGTTGTCCCAGTTTTTGTTCAAGAGTAGTGAAATAATCTTTGACAAGTCAAAAAAATTAGCTTGGACAGAAAATTTTTCTGCACACTTTTGTATTTTCACTATTGCAATTCGAAACTAAAAGTTGGGATCTTTATTTATACATCAGCTTGTAGATCAGAAGCTGCTCTACAAAATGCACTATTTAAGATTTTTTTGTGTTTCGACAAAGCATCTCAATTATTCTTTTTCCTAAATACTTATTTTTGAAAAACCGACTTTTTGACCAAAACTGTTTCGCGTGAAAAGGAGGTCTTGATAAAATGATTGTGACTGCAGTTGGGTAAAAGCTGCAGCTTAGTTCAATATCACACTTTGTAGAGAAGTGTTTGCTCTACAAAACGACTCACTCCAACAATGTTTAGCCTGTTCGAAAAAAGGGACTTACGGGGTGAACAAACCGTGTTGCTTCACCACTAAAAAAAAAAGTAATAATTTTTCAGGCCTTTCAAAAAGTTCCTCACTACTCTTGAACAAAAATAGATACACTATTTCTAAGCCCGTATTCAGAGAGAGAACAAAATTCTAGTCGTCACCTAGAGTTTTTGGCTCATCCGAAATGCTTTCAAGCAGGTCAAAATGAACAAACATCTTTCAAGCAAATTTCGGCCGACAAGCTTCGCCCAAACTAATTTTTTTGACTTGTCAAAGATTATTTCACTACTCTTGAACAAAAACTGGGACAAAATTTCTGAGTCCATATTCGAAAAGAGTACAAAATTCTGGTTCTAACTCATAGCTTTTGACTCGTCCGTAATACTTTCTAGCTGGTCAAAAGTGGACAAATATTTTGTCCGAAAAATTTCCGACCACCCGTTAGTACTTTTATTGCTAATTTAAATCGTTAACAGATTATCCAAAAAGTAAAAAAATATAAATATTTGCAAAAAGAAATTATTAACGGAAAACATCGCAAAATGTTTTCAAAACAATAATTATACAAATTTTTCAAAAAATATTCAAAAAAACTCCAAAATATCTAAAAATTTTAAAGGATTAGGTAAAAGAACCTTAGAAAATAATAAAAATAAATTTTAAAATCTAAAAAATAAATTTTAAATAGACCATGAATAATCTTAAAAAATAATTGCAAATTAAAAAAAACATTATTGTAAAAAGAAATACCAAGATGAAAATACCGACAAGAGGCTAAAAAGACAGCGAATCATGAACTAGAATATCACGAATGCGTCCTTTTATATGACTCTTTTGTGACTAAGATTTTTTTTGTTAAAGTGTGACCAATGATAAGTAAGAAACAGTCATTCATAATTCGTTGTTATTCGATAAAGTGAATTATACGATGGACGGAATGTGTCGCAGTTACCGTAGACTTTCATCGAGTTTTATTACGCTCAGTGTGCTGCAGCTGCATAAAAAGTGGCGAAATGGGTGGTCGTTGAAAAAAAAGCAGACTAATACCATTGCTAGTCTCATTAAAACCTTAGGTAAGGTTACGGGTTCTTTGACACTGATCGTATTCAGTACTATATTCATGAAATATGAACTAAAAGATATTTCAAGCATTAACAACAATGAAAATGTATAAGGAAATCTGTTTTTTTTTTTACAATCAAATAATGTATTAAACCAAAATTACTGCTGAGCTACTTTTAAAAGTTAAAGATTACTAATCGACCCCAAACATAGTCTTTAGCAATAAGAAATAGCAATTAAATACTTATATAATTCCTTAAGATCTAAAGCAGTTCAGTCATCGATTAAAGTACAAAAGAGCGAAGTAATTCATCCGAGCAAGCTTTTTTTGAATCCAGATGTACCTTTTGAATTCAACAACATCTCATATGAGATCTAGCACAAATGCATTATCAACTGCGTGAATTAATGGCAATACTTGATGGGTGATTCTTTTAGAAACATATTGTCGTATCTTTTATACACATAAAACTATAGATGATATTCAGTAATCAATTTAAATGAGATTACAACTCAAGAATACATAAATAAAATAAAAAATTAAAGATTGAAATCCTGAGACCTATTTTGTTTTGCAATCGATTGTTGAATAACAATATGAGACTGTACAAACCAAAGTCTTGTTATTCATAATGAAAACATGGTGAGAACAGCAGAATTTTTAAGACTTCATGTTATGGGGCGCAAGCTGAAAAATAAAGTACATACGATCATCACCTTTTTTCCACATTGAAACACTGGGAAATTACTATTCCTAAAAGTTGAATTTGCTCACGTTTTGTATTTAGAATATGCTGTTCAATGCGGTTTTTATTTTCTTATTTATTAGGCCTATCTTTCAATCAGCCGAATATTAGTTTGTGCTCATCATGGAGTCCGAACGCAAGCACCATTGTTGGTGAAAATTCACTGAGTCAACAATATACTGCTATTTTTGTCAATACTCAGAACACAATTTATGCAGCAAGTCAAGACAATGATCAAATTCTAATATGGAACAATAAATCGCCAATTCCGACAAGAAACATTTCTGTCAATTTAAGCAATCCAGGAAGTCTTTTTGTTACTAATAATGAAGATATCTACGTCGATAATGGATTTTCAAATAATAGAGTAGATAAGTTGTCCTATAATGCAACCATCAGTGAACGTGTAACAGGTGTCAATGGCTCGTGCACAGGTCTGTTTATCGATAGCAATCAAAGTCTATATTGCTCCTTGATGAAAAGTCATCGTGTGGTTAAACACGAATTGGAAGGTACTGCAAAAATGTGGACCAGTGTAGCGGGAACAGGTTGTCCTGGACCTGTACCAAATGCGCTGGATCATCCGCATGGGATCTATGTTGATATCGATTTCAGTTTATACGTAGCAGACACTTATAATAACAGAATCCAACGTTTTGCATTCGATAAATCGGATGGAAGCACAGTAGCTGGTTTTGGCTCATCAATACATTTTTTACTGAACAGACCGACTGGCATTGTACTTGATGCTGACAACTATCTCTTCATCGTAGATAGTCATAACCATCGTATTGTCAGATCGACACAAGATGGATTTCGTTGCATTGCTGGAAGTTCATCGACACCTGGATCAAATCCCAGTCAACTGCGTTATCCATATTCATTGGCATTCGACACAAGTGGTAATATACTTGTGACTGATATGCAAAACCGACGAATACAACTATTCAGATTGACTAGTAATCCACGTGGTAAGTCGATTTATTATGTTCGATTAGACATTCGTTCAAGAACTCGATCATTTTTGACTGATGCTATTTTATTTGAAAGGAGACTGTTTGTTTTAAGCTGTTCGAAGGAAAATAGAAAGTAGGGGTGTCAATTTACATTTACTTTAAATTTAATTTACGCGTAAATAAAATTATGAAAAATTTCTATTTATTATAAATGTAAATTCTTTACTTGCAGAATTTACATTTATAATAAATAGAAATTTTTCATAATTTATATTTATTATAAATTAAATGGTAAACGACACCCCTAATAGAAAGTCATTCGGACATTCAATGAGGAAGAAAGAAGTTAAATAGTTGACTGTACCTCGTGAGCTATATAATTATATCTAATAGTTTGATTTTTGTCATAAAAGTCTATGGTGAGCATCGTGAATAATGAGTGTGGGTGTAGGTGTGAATGTAGGTGTAGATTGGCTTTTTCTATTTACCCACACCCACACTACTCGTTTATGAGTAGTTCTAAATACTGTAGTTTCTAACTTTGATGTAAGTTAAAATTTTCATTTGAATGGGTACAAGCAAAGCAAATTTTCTCTTCTATATGAAGAAGTACATATGACAAAAGATTAGTCTCTACTGATTGAATCTCATTGGAAAACAACACAATAGTGTGCTGCACATATTGTACTCGACATAGTTATAATCAAAAGATGAAAAAAGTCTTTTAAACGTTAATATTCTTGGGCATGTCAAATGTCAATAGTAATAATAATGAATAAAAAAATGTACAACATAATAAGAACTTCAATATAAGTAATGAAAATGATTATTTCATAGAGAAATTTTATTTTCTTAAAAGAATATATGAATGAACATGTAGAAGAAAATATTTCAAAACATTTTAAAATGAAACATCGTTCAGATATTCTTCAACTACACTAAAATAGACATAATTGACTATTAAGGAGAGAAAGGAAATTAAACAAAAAACAAACGAACTTTCAGAAAAGATCTCTTCTAATAACTAAGCAATACGGCAATATTTTTAATAGTTTATTCATACTTTTCTAGATTCAGTAGCTTTTTGACAACGATGTAATAAGTTCCTAATTTCTCTTTATGAATATTATTTTCATTTTGTTGATTAATCTGAATTAAGTTTTAGTTGACGAATACTTTCATTTTGGATATAATGTATAGTTATTTCGATCAGAATAATAGTTTTTGACTTCATTCATTCACTTATTCTTGAGAAAATCAGAGCACAAACAAAATGAATGCTAGCGAAGAATTGATTAGATTAAAAATAAAACATCATAATAAGTATTAAAGAAATAAAATGATTCCTATCAATTGTGAATAAGAAAAAGCATACATTAGCGAATAGTTATGACTGTTGCTCAATCTGCCTTATTGTAATAAAATCGTAAAATTGTTCATTGTTATATTCAATTTAAAATGCGTTTTCAAAAAAAAAGAAACACTATTCAATGAGTTTAAACCGTAAACCTTAAAACGCATTAAATCATTGCATTGTGTCTATGCAAGAACGAATTTAGACATAACAATTTTAAAAAAAGTTTTATTAATTGTAAAATTGAATCGTAATGTAGATTTAAAGATGGTTTTTACACTTCTAACAGAACGCATGTATCTGTAAGTTAAAATATCTTATTTGCTATGTAAATGCTCAAAGACAATTTGGAGAGAAAAAAATTCAACTTAAGACAATCTTTTTTTCTATGAAGATTTATCTTAGTAAGGTTTTCGTACACATTCTCTAAAAAAGTCTAAACTACTTCAGCTTTAAGAATTTTAGAAAAATTAGTTTTATTTTTCGATTAGTAACGAAATTCTATCTAACATCGAAAAAACTTAATAGTTCAGCAACTTCAGGTGTTGAGGATGTGGAATTCATAAATTTTGCTAGTTATAAGCTTCTAAAACGTTATCAAAGGTTTTGAAATATGTCTGTTTTTACATTTAAAATATATGAATAGATCAATTTATAACTATTTTTATTGTAAATAAGCTTGCTTGGAATTTATTATCATTATTTCGAAAAGGTTTCTATTGATAGAATTATTTTTCTACTAATTCAATACCCATTTTTTTTCTTTTAATCATAATGTTGTTTTCCTCGATGAATTCTGTCATACACTTATCAGCTTAGTCTGAACTTCAAATATTTCTTCCTCAATATTAGTATGTATGAGTTCCACACAAGAATGAGCTGTATTGATTAAAATTATTTTTATAGTAATAACGAAATGCAAAATCTCTTTTGTTCTATGAGAAAAATTTTCAAAGACACACCGAGAATGAAGCATGAGCTTCATTTTTTTTTTATTCATTTCTAGTCATTCGTGATATTCCAGTGAATGCACAATGGGTACAGAATGGTGTTACTGTTGCTGGAGGTAACGGACAAGGCGATGCCACCAATCAACTCTACTGACCTCACGCTCTCTTCGTTGATGATGATCAAACGATAGTCATTGCTGATACGTACAATCATCGTATCGTCCAAGGGAAGATAGGTGATATAAATAGACAAGTAGTAGCTGGTGGTCGTGGTCAAGGAAATCGATTGGATCAATTGCCCAATCCAACTGACATGCTGATTGACAAAGAGACTAATAGTCTTATTATCTGCTCAACAATGCGAGTTGTACGATGGTCTCGTCAAAGTGGCACCACTCAAGGAGAAATCCTCATTGATAACGTCACTTGTCATGGATTGAGCATGGATGATCAGAGATGTCTGTACGTCTCTGACGTCGAAAAACATGAAGTGCGACGATATCGAATGGGAGATAATGTTGGAACTCTCGTAGCTGGTGGCCATGGAGCAGGTGATGGTCTCAATCAACTCAACTGGCCAAGATACATCTTTGTCGATCAACAACAGGCTGTTTACGTGTGCGACTGGAGCAATAATCGTGTGATGAAATGGAATAAAGGTGCAACAGAAGGAATTGTCATCGCTGGAGGTCAAGGTCGAGGGAGTGCTTTGACACAATTGGATGTTCCTAATGGCATATTCGTCGATACGTCGGTTACGCTCTATGTGGCAGACACATGGAATCATCGAGTGATACGTTGGCCTAAAGGAGCGACACAAGGCACTGTCATTGTGGGTGGAAATGGTCAAGGACAAGGAACGAATCAGCTTCAATATCCCCGTGGAGTGTCCTTCGATCGTTATGGCAATCTCTATGTTGCCGATGAGTGGAATCACCGTGTCCAACTTTTTTCAATCAAATAGACTCATGAACCCTGCTCTTTTTTCTCTCCATGCTTCTCTCTCAAATAAAAAGATTCGCATCGACTTTTTTCTCTATTTTATTCACGCGCGCGACGAGCACAAAGCTCGTGCATGCATGAGAACAGTCATATCATCCATACTCCACTATCCATGCAATTTGTTAAGGAGCCGGGAGGCCTGGTCGTGTGCTACAGACACCAGGACAGTTCCTGGTCGAGTTTTTCAGACCTACTCGGGAGGCCTTTCGATAGAAGGCACCTCAACGAGGGATCTCAAAGAGTTCCACTCATTCATCCCACGCTCTCTCTTAGTTAACTCCTCCCTCCCCACTCCACCCTCTCTTTCTCTCTCTTTAAGCGTCTTCCTATCTGTTTTCTAGCGGTTATTCTCTATCTAACTCATTTTCTCCCTTCTATCCTCATTTTCAAAGAAAAAAAGAAAAACTGACTCACTTGATTGATGGTGACGGGTGGATTAGATGAGTGGCTAGAATCGAAAGGAACCGCTTATTAAAAAAAAGATGACTTAGTGTACAGGATTTGGGTGTGGGGTGTAGGTGAATAGGTGCGGATCTATTAACTCCTTGGGGACAGGAACCACATATATGCGATTTGGGTGTGAATCAACCTGTAACTAATTTAGGCATATCTCTTAGAATACAATACTAACCTAATTGCTTGTGGAGAACCTATATTTGTCACTTCCGATGCATTATTACACTGCTATTTGCATTATGTACTCAATTACCTTTTTCTTTCTGTGATCAGATTCAGAGTTACATGCGACTTTAACTGGGGCTTGTAGTACAGTGAGGAGAAAATCGATTCAGGATCTCAAAGGTTACCGATCAGTTATGAAAAAATGATAACAACTATCGACATACTGACATTTTACTTGCTGTAAAATGGTTTGACAAAAGAGAGTCATTATACTTTCGATAATACATGACGCCAAAATGACGAGCACTGGAAAAATCCGTTGGAGAAGTAATGAGCAAATTCAAAAGCCAGTTTCAGTTATTAACTACAAGAAAAGCGTGGGTTCCGTTAACAGATCCGATATGCAGATTAGTTATGTCGAATGTGTTCGCAAATCAGCAAAATGGTGTGGGTGTGGGTGTGGGTGTGGGTGTGGGTGGGTGTGGGTGTGG